GTTATGGTAGTTGGAATTGAATTCACCCTTGTATTTATATTTATCTTGATTCTCCATTTTTGATTAGCGGATGATGGTTGATCTGATCTGTGTGATGAGTTGGGTAGGTCAGACCGCGATAAACGAGGATGGAGATGGAGATGGAGATGGGGATATGGTGGGTGGATGAATGATAGATGCATCTGGATTTTTATTTAGAGTTTGATCTGATTCGTGAATTACTAGATTGCATACTCAGGTACACAATTTGCGATTCTTTTATTGAGGAGTTACGAGGTTTGGTGGAAATGGTTGCTGGTTGGAGGAAAGCTGGAAGGTAGAGTAGAGTCTTTAGATGATCGTATTGATGTTTGTTATAGTAATATCTAGATAGGTACCGATAGGTAGGTGGTTTAACTACACTACTAATTCAATTCAATTCAATCCAACCAAGTAAGAAAGAGTAAGATAGATGCCGCGATAAACTTTCCAGCACCATTCATCACAGCCAATATGGTGGAGGCTGGGGTTCCTAGGTATTTTTCTAGATTTGCTAGTCCCGGGTTCGATGCCATGGTGGGGTTACATTGGTGGATATGTCTTGTCAGAAGCTGGGTTTTATGGAGTATCTCATCGGTAGCTAGGTATATATTCATGGGGAATCGTGGTAAGATTCTTATGCAGCCTGAACTTGGCTGATGTGATGTAGTGACTAGGTATCTTGTATGACATCTGATGAATTTAAATACTTGATTGGAGATGAGATGAGAGGTTATAAATGTATGCTTTTCCCGGATGATTTTGTGGTTTTGTTTTTGTTCTACTTAATTTATCAATTTTATCGATATATATAAATCTTCATCCTCTGCAAAGACTCTCAGTCAAAGAAATTTACTCAATCGATACCGCATTCCAGAATCAATACACACAACTGCCACAACAATCATCATACACACACATATTCTACCCTCCTCCAAACAAACAAACAAACACACATATCTACATAACTCAGCACATCCCTCTCTCCAAACAAACCCTCAAAATGTGCTGGCCAAGCCGAACAAAATATTACCGCGAGCCCGTCGTCCGTGAAGTCGTCTATGCCGCCCCTCGACCCGTTTCTCGAGGTCATCATCATCATCACCCTCGACGCGTCTCGGTTACTTCAGTCTCTTCGAGACCGGTTAGTCGAACGTATGTTACTACCACAGCTAGTCCGAGAGCGAGCCGAACGAGTTATAGTAGTTCGACTTATAGGAGGAGGTATTGAGGGGGTGTGGAATTAGGTTGAGATGGATTGGAATATCTTTTACGATTGATGATGTGATGGATGATGCGATGGATGATGATGGGTATGGGTATGGGTATGTGATATAAGATGACTGGCGTATTGGGTTGGTTTGGATTGGTTGATTTGGGACGAAAATGATGAGAGACAAGGATAGATGATCTCCGATGTGAATATAATTGTATACGAGTGGAGCTAGCAGTGTTGGCTAGCTGGCTATATGAGATGAGATATAATTCTTCTGTATTGGATTTCTGGGTTTTATTTATTGTATGATAATGTTATAGGATATACGAAATATGGAATTGACCCTGCCGAGTTTTACCTTTTCAGCTTGGGCGGATGAGTTGTATGATGAGATGGCGAGGTGAACGAGTAATGAATTGATGATTTGTGTGATCTTGGATGATATTTTAGAATGAATCCCGAGACCGGGACTGTTACCTTTCGTGCTATCTGCAATTTGTGTTAGAAATGTCTGTATGAAGGGATAACATGATGGCAATATCATGAATAGCAAGGGAAACGTATATTTCCCATCTTTCTTCACATTGCTCACTACACGAGAGACCTGCCCGTCCATACAATCCCACAATCCATTCCCCAGATTCCTCCTATCAAATTCCGGGATCAATTCCATCTCACAATGATTGAAGCCAAAATCTTGAATTTTACCATGCTTCAATATAATACTATTAGTCATCTTAGTCATCTCAGTCATCTCAATCATCTCAATCATCTCAGCAATTCAGACGATGACATTATCAGATATGACGTCAATATTAATGGTGGGGTTATCACAATAACCTGCATCAAGAAGCTTTCTTTACTGCAATTATCCTTGTTATCAATCATTACTATTATCATCATTATCAACTGAACAATTATAATTTATATTAATCTCTCCAACCTTGTCGACTATCGTGGAGTATATCCTCAACTCTTATCTGCGTTACACCTGGTCGCTACATACATACATAGTATCTTCGACGAGCGAGGTGAAGTGACATAGATCAAGTTGCAAGGTTTGTTCTCCCCTGTCCTTTCGTCGCAAGAGACATCCATCTATTTTCCCTACGTATCTATATGGTTGATGATGCTATTCATGCGACGGTTAAAATGAAGCAATCACACATCGAGACAAAATCTGGGAAGTATCAGATTTGAAGGAGCATTTTATTTTTAGATCTACATTCATATCTTGAGAGTATTCGCTGGTCAGATACGCATTGCATTACAAGGCGCCTTGAAAGGAAAAAGGAAAGAGCTGATCAATCTTTAGATTCAACAAACATAGTACTTTCTTGATTCGATTAAACTATCAATATGTAAGTACAATTTGTTAATTTCTACCCTTTCCCACATCTCTTAACCTTTACTTCAACACAAAGGAGATCGATCAAACATGTTGCGACGGGCAAATTCCAGCAGAGGTTCTGGATCTGGCGAGAAAAACAATCCTTTAAAGCATTGTTCGCACCCAATCATCCTTTGTTCCACCCTCGTCGTCGTGGCATTCGACCCATTTTCAATTACGCTGATCGTCTCGTTAAAATTATAGTCACTAACTTTATTACTGTCAGGAATCGAGCACTATCAGTTCGCTCCTCAGGGGGCAAATCTTCATCCAAAGATACCTCATCCTCCAAACATTTCTCCCTCTCTTCCCTTCGTGGAATCAATCAACCAGATCTCTCGAAGAAACTTTACAAACTCATCAAAACCGAAAACAATCTCATTACAGCATATGAAACGGCAGGCAGAGAACGTATTTCGATTGCTACTCAACTTTCCGAATGGGGTGAATCCACTGAGGACGATGCGATTTCGGAAATCTCGGATAAGATTGGAGTTTTATTGAGCGAACTAGGTGACCAGGAAGATTATTATGCACATAGTCTGGATGACTCAAGAGGAGTGTTGAAAGCGATTCGAAATACTGAGAAGAGTGTTCAACCAAGCCGGGATCATAAACATAAATTAGTAGAACAAATTGCTAAATTACGGGCCAAGGAACCTCAAAGTGCTACATTGGTTACATTGGAGCAAGAGTTAGTCAGAGCAGAAGCAGAACAATTGGTTGCTGAGGCTCAATTAACAAATATTGTAAGACTTCTCGTTTTGGAGTTATTATGGATAGAGAAAAGCCAAGTAACTGACAGGCTACCTACAGACAAGAAAGAAGATCAAGGAAGCATATGATGCAGAATTTGCTGCCACTATTGAAAGAGCAGAGAAACAAATCATCCTTGCTCGTCATGGACGTCGACTCCTCAATCTCCTTGATGATACACCAATCGTACCGGGAAATATTCGTCCAGCTTTTGAACACACTGAACAAGCCCGACAAATTCTCAATGATGCCGAGGATGATCTTCGAGATTGGCAATTGGATGAGGAAGAACTCCAGTCACATGGTAACTTGGATTCTGGTGCGATGCGTCAGGAAGGTGCTGAACATCAACAAGTTCAAAACGTAGAAGGTTCTGTTGTTGGTACTGAGGATGGTTATCGTAATGAAGGAGTTCAATCGGAAATTGGTGAGAGTAGGATCAGTAGTGGACAACAAATTCCGGGAAGTTATGCTCCTAGTGTTACGGGAACTTCAGTCACAACTGGTCCGATGGAGACAAATGAGGCTAATAGGGTTGCTTAATGTGGTGGATAGTTCACGTGACTTTTCAGTGGTTTGGGCAGTATAATTGAAGCTTTAATAATGGGTGAATTTCGTACCTCAAAGTACTTCTTATTAATTAAATGGTCGTTTGGATCTTAAGGTTTTAGTGTGCAGAATAAATGTGTTTCGATGTACAAATTGCTGCATCTTTCGCATAAGTGGTATAATCTTTGAAGTCAAGTCAATGATCTAATTAAAACACTACCATTACAGCCGAATGAAAGGGGAAGCGCGACGGATCTCATCACCCGACCCCGCAATTTTTTACTTGGCGGAAATAAGACGTCCCTAGAGAGTGAATGCTAGGTTTTCTGTGAATTTTTATTTCCGTAATTTCTGAGGGGGGGGGCATGTCTGGGGAAGTATTTCTCAGTGGATGGGGAGGGCAGGAGAGATTCCTGTTGCCGCGCCGTTTGGATGCAGGATTTTGGCTTGGCAAGGTTACCTAGATGGGGGGTTAATTGGTGATTGTGAATATGTCTCCGAAAAGTGGCCGGTTTGTTGCCGGTTGGGGGAGTGATTGGGAGTTTGTTGGTTTGTTGGTGTGATGTGGTTGGAAAGTCGCCGGGAGAGGGTGATGGAAGGGGGGAGTTGGTATGTTTGCTTTCGAATATTCTTGGGGAAGGAGGATTATTGGGAGAGGACTTGGAGGGTAAAGCGGGGAGATTTGGATGGGGATATATATATATATTGTCTTGAATTCTTTTTCTTATTTTTTTCTCTTGGAGTGTTTTGGTTGGAATTTGAGAATTTGAATTTTGAATCTTGAATTTTGAAATACTGTGGTGAGATAGTGGTATAACGCGAACGATACGATCGGATATACTAAGATTACAATAGTAAAACACTGCATCACATCGAAAAGTAAAAGCAAAAGCAACATACCGCACAATGGCCAATTTAATGAAAGAACTCGGTAAGATACAATAATCAAATTTTCCTCTCCCCTCCTCTCACACAAACCCCAAGATCCCCCATCCAAACATCCCCCCTAACATCTCTCCAGGTTCCCAAACCAAATGGAGTACCTCCACATGTGTATCCTGCATCACCAAAATGTCCGCTTCCAAAGGTCTCCAACCTAGCACCCTCCCCCTCCGCCACATGGTACAACTAGCCCAAGATTTGCTACCCTTCGATAGCGCTGCGAGCAGGGGAAAAATCATTCTCGATGTGGGATGTGGACCCGGACAGGTGACGGAGTATCTAATCGGAGAGTTTGGATCTCTCCTCACGCGCACTTCTGAGGAGGAGGATCATCCGCAAACTCGGATCCTAGCTTCGGATTTCAGCGCACCCATGGTGGCGCAGTTGCAGAAGAGGAAAGAGAGGGAGCTGGAGATGGGGAATGCGGCTTGGGGTGTGTGGAAACGGAGGTGTGTGATGCGCAGGATTTGAGGGGGATGGTGGGGGATGGGGTGGCGAGTCATGCGTTGGCGAGTTTGGTGCTTTTTATACTGCCGCAGCCGAGGAGCGGGTTGCGGGAAATGTGGAGGGCGTTGATGAGTGGGGGGGTTGGGGGGTGTACGTCGTGGAAGGAGAGTGAGTGGATGGTGCTTATGGGGGTGGGGGCTGCTGCTGCTGCGGATGGGGATGGAGAACCGAAGAGGAAAATAGAGATGCCGAAAGAGTGGATGAGTATAGAGGGGCTAAAGAGGGAATTTGAGGAAGTGGGATTTGTGGATGTGCAGGTTGTGGAGAGCGAGGCGAAGTGGAGTTTTGAGAGTCATGAGAGTGTTGTGGATATGATATTGGGGTTTTCCGGGGATGAAGATGATGGTTGGGGAGGAGAGGTGGGGGAAGGGGGGAGGGAAATGGCGAGGGAGGGGATGTTGGCGTGGATGTCGGAGAGGTTTTCGGAGGGGGAGGGCACGTTGAGTGGAGTGGCGGTTGTGGGGGTGGGGAGGAGGGGGGAGTAGATGGGTTGAAGGTTCATTTTTAGGTGTGGAGGAAACTTGGGAGGGGTTTTAGGATGGAGAATGAGGATTTGGATGTTGGATATGGGACTTTTTGTGTGAGACAGATGAGAATCTGAAAAAGCATCTCGAGTGACCTAAAGTTGCTTAATAGATTGATTTTCTTGAATGCATCACACATTTTTTTGGCTTTTCGACATAGGACCGTGACCTCGTTTAGACTACATGGTAACATATACACCTATCATAGCATCACGAGTGGAAATTACAAATCTTTTTCATTCCCCAGGAGTCTTACATCTATTATACTCATAATCGTATCTTAAAACCTAGATATAGAGTTATAGATTAATATATCGAATGGATTGGTGATATACTCTTTTCTTTTGTAGAGAGGTTAGAAAATAAGTAGATAATAAGTTGAATTCTTTGAGAGAAAGAGACGAAAAAAAGATTAATAGATTTGAGATTATAGGTTAGCAATTATAAATATATCGAATAGGAGAATTCGTAAGATTTTAGAATAATGGATAATAGATGATAAATCTATAACTTGATAGTCGTTTTGAACTCTATTATTAATAGAATTCCAGGTCTTTATGGTATGAGTAAGTCATTCGATTTCGAAGACGAAATTTTTATTTCTCGGGATTTTCAACGATTTACAAACATGTATTTAAAGTTATCTAGAATTATTGCATTCATTTTGAGATGTTAGATGTTTAGTATAAAGTGTAATTAGAGATATTAAAATTGAGGATCTTATTTGTATTTGATTTGAGAGAGTTTGTTATCTTTAAATCAGGGAATTTGTGTTTCTTTTGAGGTTTATGGAGGGGTATCGAAGATTTTGTAGATTTTGAATTATTTATTCAGCGATGAATAATCCAGAGATTGTCCGCTGAAGCTAGCATTCGCCCGCGGGTACTCATTACGCAGTATAGTTATCAGGTTATATTTTATAGCTCTGCAGATCACATTGAGAGCATTTGCGCTTGCAACTGTTAGATACTTAATGGGAATAATGATACTAGCTTCGCCTGTTTGAATTCTGAATGCTTATTCGTGAGAGAGGAATCTATACTAATAATCCGATTTCCGAATATACGCCATTGCTACCAGTCAGGCTTCTAGCAACTAGGTGTTATTGACTTTTTCTTCTATTCGCCTTCTGGACCCTTATAATCAGCAATCTTGAGCCCCGATCAAGAAGACAATTTTCTCAGCTGCTTTGATCAACTCCGGAAACACGCAATTAGGATTTCAACCACCGCTAACAAATTTGCTTCTCTCCCGATCATGATTTTCTATCCAATGGCTACTCGAAACAGGTCTAATCAAGTTGGTTTTCTCGAAAATCCCTCTGAAAGAAAGCCCTTCAAAAGGAGGAAGTGTGGCGGGATATATTCCATTTTCAATAGCGCTTTTAAAATAGAACCAAACATCATAGTGTCACATTCATAACGATAGGATTTCATAAGTGCGACCCCTTTTTCTCGCTTATATCGATTTTTGTAACCGGGTTTGCAATGTGATGACGTTTGGTATCTCGCGATGAGCTCGGTCATCAGGGTGAAGCAGGATGTTATGATATCTTCTCTTTTTCATCTAGTTTTTCTAAGAGAGCTGTTAGTAGAGATATATCGAATAAATAGACAACTTGAACATACCAATAATCTTATCTGTAATTGAAAACTTAATGTCATGTTCACTCAATCTTGTAGAAATAAGTCAATCGTTTTCCAAAGCTAGTAGTCAAGTAACATGCAAAAAGAAATGATCTCAATTGAAAATCCAAGCAATACAAAGCCAATGTAATATAGCATCTTCATGAAACTTTAGATTCTTCAACCTACTAATCAATAAATGGATCCAAATATTCGAGATCATTTTGACTACATTATGCATCTGAGATTTTTCCACCAGGATTGTAAAATTGCAAAGAGTCGATAGACTGAGTGATTCAGGGAGTTGGACATTGCGATAATGAACAATATTGACGAGGATTAAAAATAAATCGGGATTGGGGTCAGGAAGCGAAATATTAATTATGCTTTTCACTTGTTGTTTCTTGCTTTCTTTTGGTCCATCCGTTGGTTGAATTGTGGCTTTGAAGGCGTGTGATACTAGCATCATGTGTTTTGAAGACACCTGGAATTCGACTTTTTGAATCTCGGGAGGAAATTTCGAAATCGCTGTGGTGGTTTTATTGTCGTTTTTCTCGGGTCCTATTTTGCCATTGTAGACATCTCGATGTCTTTCATCCTTGATTGGAACTCTTATCCCCTAAGGTGCTAGTTTCGGGCGCCCGATGTGGCCCGTGCGTTCAGCAAGAACATTGTCACGGATTGGTTATAACTCTACTTAGTAGGTTTGATGTTGATCAAACTACTTATACCCTTTTGGGGTTACATAGCTTAGTAATAGAATACTTGGCGCTATAACAGTTAGTTTGATCCTACCCAAAGGCTTTTCGTAATGGAATCCGATTAGTTAGGGAAAAGCAATCCCGCCCACTTTTAGATATGTAATCAATTTCTATTACTAGAATTCTTGGCAATCCTATTCTGGGATAGGGGACGAGATCCTGCTATACCCATTCCGAGATTGAAGAAAGAAGTAGTGTCACGGATTGATTATAACTCTACTTAGTAGGTTTGATGTTAATCAAACTACTTATACCCTTTTAAGGTTACGTGGCTTAGTGATAGAGTACTTGGCGCCGTGACAAACATTAATAACTTCAAGAATAATATTATAAATAAAGGTCTTTATATTATATTTAAAGATTAAAATTTATAAGAAAAGTCATAATAAATAAACCAAGTATACTTCTAAAGCTTTTTTATTGAAAAAGAATCGGTGGAAGATTTTATAAATATTATTATATTTCATATTCTAAAATCAGAAAATAATTATCAACGATTTGATATAATTATAATTAAAAATATTATTAAATCAAAAACTCAATATTTATTAATAAAATAAAGACATATATAAGGTTTTATATAAGTATAAAGAATGTATTATTTATATTTATTAAATTTCTAAGCATTCGATAGTTAATTCAAAAAAACATGTGGAAACTGTGAGAATTCTCAGAATCCTAATGTTTTGATTGGTCAATAAGACCCTGTTAAGCGAGGGCGCCCGAAGTTGTCACCTTAGGGGATAGTCTTGAGCAGGCGTTGAAGATGGAAGATACAATCGACATCAGGATCAATAATGTGTCTTTTGGCCACATTAATTTGTGAAAATTGAGTCTACTTCAAGAATGATTGAGTTATCAAAATGTGAATTTGTTGTAGTGGATGGGAGTAAGTATTGTGAGCTTGCTTATATGTAGTTTATGTCACGGGATCACCTCTGGGAGTATTCAGAAGTTTTACCGCTGAGCTAAACGCCCAAAAGACTAGGAGGTAGAACTGGAAGTTCTACCTTACTCTCACATATATAGCAGGACAGGACAGGACAGAAAGGGCTTAGTGTCACCCCGTGACAGTTTATTTCATATTAGATTGAGAGATAACAATACCGTATGACCAATTGTAAGAGTTCTAGCCCCTGCTCACTTGTCACGGTGTGAGCTCACGTGATATGCTGGTCCTATCGGAGAGGACCGAAAAGAGCGCTCGCACCGGAGCGTAAACGAGCTAGAACCCGATCAGACTAGCTCACTATAAGAATTCCATATATCTTCAATTTAGAAAATCCTATATTATAATTCTTTAAGCTACATCTTAATCCTCAATCTAAACCTATTACCCGAATCAATATAACCTTACCAAATTAAAGCAAAATTATTAGAATCCTATCCAACCCACCTACCCCGTAATACTACATAGCTTCTACCCATTAAAATATTACTTTCACAATAACTACTCCACACCCACCTAACCAGCCTAGGGATTCCTCGAAATTTGGCGCTTTTGTATCAAAGAATCCCCAGGTTTAATACCAATACCTCCAATCAGCATCTACATATTATACCGAACTGAAAGAAACCAACAAATCACTTGAACACAAAATTTCTGAATTCCTAATCTACAAATATATTCAAGCTACTCTACACAAACAAATTACTACTCAAAACACCTATCTACTCGATTGCCTTACTAAATCTACATTTACTATACCTACTCATTTGAAAACTGTATTCCCCAAAACTCTCACTAACTCTATCCCCAAATTTACTATACCTACTCCAACCATTCAATTAAATAAATACATCCCCAATCCAAAAAAGTTTGATAACACCCATTCCAACCTATACAAATTTGTTTAATAGATACACAGAAAATTGAATACAAATAATAATAGATTTCCAATAACTTTTGCCCACTTGATTTACACTATTAGAAAACTTACTAAAAAGACATACAAACTTATATTATTTAAGATCTCCTATAGGATTCCTTAGTTTACTAATTATACCATACTCCTCAAATATCTCGAAAACACCTTTAGGGATTCTGATTGAATACATAATATACAAAATAAACTATATATATTAAAACAAAGATATCTCGATTTTAATACCTTTTTTGTGGAATTCTAGAAATTTGTTCTAAAAGGAGAAATGCCTGATAATACTCTAATTCCGTTTTTATTTCAAGGAATCTCTTGTGAATTATAAGATATATTATTACATAACCCTGCTTCAATCTGTGAATTTCGTTAATATACTAATTACCTACAACAACTCGATAATCGATTTTGTTAATACTAATAATAAATTTATTATATTCATCCTATTGTTTCAAAACTTCATTCCAAAGATAATCACTGTTTCGTTTTTACAATTCGCTAGCCCGAAGTTTATTCCTGGAGATTTAATAGATCTGAGTTTAGAAAAAAAGAATACACTGCTAGGAACCTGGGTTTGCGGCGGGAATGTAGCGAATGTTATTGCTGTGGTTTTGCCAGCTACCTGATATAAGATTGTCTATACCCTGATATCCATTCTATTCAATTCTAAATTACTATTACTATAACCAGCCCTA